TTTTTTCTCAGAAATGAGATATTTTCCCGCGGTAAAAAGTATCATATATGTTGATTCAGATAACCAGCTATCGTCATATCAAATTTCATCAAAATCCCTCCAGTGGTTTTTCTGTGATGCGGTAACAGACAGACCGACAAACAGACAGATAGATAAAAATTCTTAAAACTATAGATTCGGGCTCTGTATATATATATAATGTTTGTTTATATATAATGTTTGTTTCAATAAGATTTTCCAAAAAATATTTAATGTACAGATTCGGCTTAGTTACAATTTTATTATATGTATAGATCTAGACTATCAGAATTGCACCTTCATGGTCATACTTTTGTATTGTCACCGAAGAGTCATAACTCATAAGGTATGCTAAACTTTAGCTCAATCGGATACTAACAAGTTTTTTAAACAGGATTACTCATTTAGAATCGAAAATAAAAACTTTTTAACAAAAAAATAAAAACTGACTTCAAACCAAAGCACTTAAAATTAAAAAATAACTGATTGGTAGTTTTCATTTACTATACATACCTAATAAAATATTTTCGAAGTCGGTGTGCTTTGCTTTGTATGGGCTGGCACCGATTTTGAAAATACTTGATTAGGTATGTATTTAATAGGTAGGCTTTAATTACTTAGCCAAAGCACACCGACTTCGAAAATATTTAATTAGGTATGTATAGTAAATGAAAACTACCAATCAGTTATTTTTTACTTTTTAGTGCTTTTGTTTGAAGTCGATTATTATTTTTTTCCCTTTTTAGTGTAGACCGTAGTAGCAAAGTAAGAATTCTAACGTGTTAGGCTTGTCAAATCAAACAAAATAAGCCCAAACTCAAAGTATCTTCTATTAGCCGTTGAAGGGTTCCACCTATCCACCTTCTGGCCTTACCATCAGATCAGGTCAACAATACCGAACCACTGTACTATCAACGGAAATAGAAACACTTGCAAAGTTTCAAGTCAATATGACAATTAGAAGTAGGTTAAATTCATCATTAGCTATTTTTCCACCCTTTGGGTGGTATTTTATTTTGAAATTTAAATGGGACCAATCTGGAAGTATATACTTTCAAATAACACAAAAATTGTCCAAATCGGTTAATAAATGACGGAGTTCTGAGATAACAGACATAAAAAAAATACAGTCGAATTGAGAACCTCCTCCTTTTTGAAGTCGGTTGAAAAGACAGTCGAGTAAGCAAGACAGCTTAGGCGATTAGATTCAATTAATTTTCTTTCTCTCAAATTACAGAAAATATATTATAAAAAAAAACCCGACTGCATAAAGCTAAATAAAAGGATGAGAGCAAGTCGACGAAGGAATAAAGTATTATGCAGTCGGAGATATACACGTTTTATCCTTACCGAAAGATGTATACACATACATACATATATATGTATGTCTCCGACTGCATAATACTTTATTCCTTCGTCAACTTGTTTTCCTCTTTTTAGTAAGCTTTTCTGCAGTCGGGTTTTTTTTTATTTTTATAACATTTTTTTTTACTTACAGCTTTTTAGTTTTTGCTAATTGGACATTTGAAGTTATATTTAGCCATTTTTTATCCTAAATTACTTTCAAACATATAAGTTGTATATTTTTATGATAGCCTATTAAAACCCTTTATTTTGATACCCCACTCGAATGGTTTGGAAGATTTTTTTAAAAGACAAGAATTGGCACCTGAAATCCGTAATTTTATTTTTAACTATTTTGTATAGCCTATAACACTCGCGTTATCAAGACGAATCTAACGACGTACGAATCACCAAAATCGGCCTTTGCGTTTGGCCTCTAGAACGCCAGATAGGAACAAACATACATATACGTACATAGACTGAAAAGCACATTACCCTCCTTCGCGTCGCGCAGTCAGGTAAAAAATAGCTGATACATCCCTGGTCATTGTCTATCTGTGTTCATACTAAATTTCATCCAAATCCGTCCAGCCGTTTAAGCGTGAAGGAGTAACAAACACACACACACATATACAATACACATACAAACATTATATGTATATATCCTATAATACATAGTAGTCCGATATTCCGATATTTATAAAGAGGACAATGTTAATGTTCAGAATCTCACAATACGCGTAGGTGCAAGTCCGTTGTTTTATAAATATAACAATAAAAAATATTGAATAAAAATTCCTGAGCCGCATTTTTCATATAATATTACTATAATAAGATATATTTTTTAAACATTCGCATTCACGGTCATTGTTACATTCCAATGAATAAGAGCTCGGAATATAGTGACAAGGTCGCAAATCAGATTTAATTCTTTCCTCTTTAAAAGTCTTAAAATGCAACTTTAGTATAACTTTTTTGTGTAATTAATACGTAGTTATACATATTTTTTTAAAACTAGTAATATATGAATAATACAAAAAATGCCAAAAACAACAAAATTAAAAAAAAATTGAATAGAAAACAACACATGATCGATATGGCATTTATGTGGACTCTTTTAAATCAGAATGATATAATGTGATTTTTCTCAGGTATGAGATGTAATCATTACACAAGCTTCTGTTTACATGGAATCGTATTGAGTAAGCAAAAAGCAGTTAGTTATAAAAACTGTTAGGTTGTGAGAAACCGATAGTCCTACATAACGACAGTATATAAATGTCTCTTGTATGGCAAGTAAATAATACATTTTAACAAAACTTGTTCGTATTTTTACACAATATACACTCTAAAAATTTTCAATTTATCTCCACCATAATAGAGCCGAGGATTTTTTAATTTTTTTTTCTTTAAAGGTATTGGACAGGGGAATCTTAGCAAGAGTAGCAAAATTTATTTATAGTACCAGCCTTTAGCTATAAACTACAGCGGTACGAACAATCCTACCTTTTCTGAAGTCTGAAAAATAATATAAAACAATAAGTTCATTTGAACTAAATTAGCTTTTTTATCTAATATTTAATTTGGTCGTTGATTCTGTCATTTAAGTCCAGCAGTTTTTGTGTCGATCAGGAACAAACATTAATTAGTGAATGCAAAAAATATCATTACGTTGGCAGGTTCTTGATTGGGCCACTGTTGTCATTGTTCAATATTTTTTTAATAAGTAAAGTAATTTTTTAATCATGTATGACACTTGTCATGACAGCTTTGAAATATTTTGTAGAAGAATAATAAATAGTTATTAAAGTTTAACAAGAAACTAATGTTATATATATACAACATCCATATCCATATCATACTAATATTATAAATGTGAAACTGTGTGAGTGACGGATTGGCGTGATTTTTTATATGGAGATTATCTCCAGGAGATAGTTGGAGGACTGGAGAGTGACATACTTTTTACCGCGGGATATTATCTAAATCCCACGGGAAAATAATTCACGCGGGTTTTGCTAGTTGATATATAAAAACATAAATGCACATTTCCTATCAAATATCTCTTGAAAAAGTAGCGTCGAAACGGACGTTAAGTCAAACCAAAGAATAAAATTCCAAAATCGAAAATTAATTTTGTCATTCAATGTCATTCGAAAAGCAATAAACAAAAAGAGATTTGTCAAAAGTGCTAAATTTTGATTTTATGTGCTCCTTTTAGAGGACACTTGAAACGCTGATTGTGTGTCTTGAGTTTTTGTATATGAAAGTGTTATAAGTGCGAAAATTTGTTGTAAATATATATACAAAAATAGAATAGTAGTCACAACATTTTTTTTAATATTTTTTAGCGTATAAAGTGTATTATTTGGAATACGACTTATCTAAAAGTTGACCAATTTTATATCATGACTATGGACTTCGATTATGTATAAAAAGTTACCGAAAAATATGGCACTAATTCTATAATTATATAAAAACCAATATACAATTAACAACTATTATACAAGTTATACACAAGTGAAATTGTGGTAAGAATGCATTGGCATTGGAATTCTTTAGCCGAAACGCAATACAGAATTTTTGTTTTTTTTCGTCTCTTTTGTTTGTATTTTTTTTGTTTCAAATATTACTTGCATGTCAAGCAAATTTTTCTGGCAGGATTTGGCGCTGCTACCTGAAATACAGGTTCCCTAGTTCAGCTACAGATGCTTCATTCACCTTATAACGATATTGTTATTTTGGCTCAATTATTTTGCAAAACTTTTTTGTAATTTTTTTACAAGTTATATACAAGTTATATACAAGTGAAATAGTCCTAGTGAAAAATAGAACACTTTTAGATATAAATTAAACGAGTAATAACTAGAGCTGCAAGATCTCTGTAGCCCTTTGCTGAAAAGTACTTATCCATGAGCTGATTAACCATAAATAACAACCATAAATCCGCATGAAACAGGATCAACTTGGTGTTGCGTATTATGCGATGCTTTGAATACAAAACTATCATAATAATGATGACAAATTGGAAATAATTTTATTATAAGAATAAATATCAATTGTCTATGCAAGGATAAATACGATTCTCTGTCGTCTGAAGATCGGTTTTCCCCTATTTCGGTTCCAAAATCGCAATCGACGCTCGTAGATCACGATTCATGCCTTCTAATATGAATGCCATTTATAAAGTGACATGGATATCACGGAACGAGGGAAAACCAGCCATAAACCTTTGTATGCGAGCTTGTGAACTGGTTCAACGAGCGATATCATGACATAAAATCTAAGTAATATTACCATAAACCTCTATATTAAGTGTTTAAAATACAATAGTGTTTCTTTTAATTGGATTCTAGTAAGAATGTTAATAATAAGGGCTACATATTTTTTCTCTTTTTTTTTTTAATTTATAACATGGCTTTAACATATTTCTTTTTATTACAGGTAAAGTGCTAGTTGCGAAAGTGAAGCAGTGAAATATAGTGGCAGTGCAGTGTGCTTTTTGTGTCGAGAATGAGAAGACGCTCGCGCAGCTGACTATCCAACGCCGCTTACATACATTATTATGCAAGCGCGGCCGTGATAGCGAATAAATATTTGAGTTGACATTTGAAGCAATGTCGAATGAATACTGAATTATGGCTTTGGCGAATTTCACAGTGGCGGGCGTCAACGCCGCTGTACCTGTAGTAGCCGCTACCTCAGCCACACCATTACGTGTCGAACTGGATGATCTTCTTTATTCGCCTGAGGAACAACAACAAGAATATGCATCTCAATATACCGGAAACGAACCATTTTTACCACCTTCAAATTTACAACAACCCAGAAAGTCTAAAGTGAGAAAGCGTGCCGGTACGGCATATCTTCCCCCGCCCAATCAATTCGCACATTATCCTCGACAGAATGTTGTTCCTCAAAATCCTTTTAATAACCAGCTACACGCGCAGGTCTACCAACAAAACTCGAGGCTCGATTTACAAATAGAAAATCAACGTGTTCAAGAAATAAATTCACAGTACGATAATGCGGGGCAATATATACATGATCCAACAGGCGATTATGATTATGATCAGAGGAAAAACAATAAGAACGAGGCACAACGCCCACCTTACAATCCAGGATATGCGGATAACCCATACGGACCTGCGACGACACCTGGTCCACAATCTAGTCGAGAATTTGACAGTGTGCCTAACCAAAACTTTAATATACATAATGGCCCTGTAACCCCTTCATCACAAGCAAATTTTCCGAAGCAAAATGAGGCTGGAACTAAAATTAGTGGTAATAATGGTAATTTTGGACAAACACCTCCAGATCGCCCTCGAGGATTTACCAAAGTGGAAACTGGGGGCACAGGTGGAAAAACGCAATTGCATGCTATCCTAGACTACGATGACGACGATTATTATGAAGATGTTCCTGGTTCAGGTATATTTAATACTATCTTAATATATTATCTTAATATTTTAACATTTAATTGGCAATTTTCTATGGCTCTATATTGATAAATTGTTTACTTACGTTACATTTAGATTGTTATCCGTTAAACAGTCTTGATATCTACCTACCTACAAGACATTGAAATGGCACGATCGGTCCAATTACTTCCACTATCAGTCGATAGCGGACAGCCTTCGGGTCACAGCGTAAGAATCGAAACGAGAGCGAAATAGGCGGTTTTATGACTATATAAAGAATTATATTAAGGGCAAATTCGAACCGTTCATATTTATTAAATCGGAATGATCGATCATTTTATATACCAAATGGCGTGATAAATCCAAGGGCATAGTAAATAGTAAAGTCGCGTATGCTTTTATCTTAACTCTTACATTCGATTGATTTAATGCCAAATGACCATTGCCACTTAAACAATGAACAATATGTCGCAGGCTAATATTTCAATTTTGACAGTTCCTGGGACATTAAAATGAAGTTTATTATACTAATTAATATTAATATAACTCTTTTTAAAATTAAACTAGCCATCTCAAATGTAATGTATCTAAATGATTATATGTATAATGAACACTAAGGAGATTTAAGTCACACAATACTTTCTTAGATTTACGCTAATATTTGAGATTTAAGTCTTTTTGTGTCTGTCCAGTTATTATTTGTATTGGTTTTCTTTGTAACTGATTTTCATTATTAGGTACTTGCATAACTACCGATGATGTTAAATAACACTAACTAGTAACTTCTATAGAAAACCTCCTTTTACCACGACATTAATTTGCCTACTTTATCTTAAGGTTAATTTGGATACTGTTTTAATTAAAGTCTATTATTTAATATACATATATTATATACTCATATGAGTATATAATAGGTCTAGAAATATATACATATAATAAAATGCTGAGTTGAATCTGTACATTAAATATTTTTTGGAAAATCTTATTGAAATAGACATTATTATCGATACAGAGGCCGAATCTATAATTTTTAGAATTTTTGTCTGTCTGTACATATAGGATACTTTTTACTGCGGGAAAATATCTCATCTCTGAGAAATCGATACTAACCGACAAAACGTATATAGGGACGAACCCGAGCGAAGCGAGGAGCGCTAGTTACGTAATAAATATTTAACTTAGGAGTATGAATCTGTCATCGAATAAAAAATAGGTATTTATAATCACATAATATTATATATTTACATAACAATTTATGCAATAAAGTATAGTTAAAACTTCTAAATCTTACTGTAAAACATTTTTATTTAGACATTGCCTAATAAAAAGCCAGTTTTCATCAACAGCACAAACGGCTATTAACATACGTGTTTACGCGTGGCGGATTGCATGTGCGTCTTCACTTTTAACTCAGCACAAAAACATCACACCGACCTTGGTTTCACTTTCAAGCGTTTTATCGAGAGACCGGGTCACTTTTACGCCACTTTCACATGAAATTACTTAAGGATTACATTGAATTGATGATGAGTGAACTCTCACGAAAGTTTTAAAAGACAACAAAATCGAAAGTGCATAATAATTACAAGACTTCCGCGATACCATTCAGACAAAGAGAGACAATAGCATTCCCAAGGAGGGTTGACGTCGGGCAGGCGGCCGGTCGTAAAACTTTTGCCAAATCCTATCAGCAGTACAGAAGATGTACTGCGCCGACCCCAAGTGATTGGGAAATGGGCAGGGAGAAGGAGAAGAAGAACTCTCACGAAAGTTTATAATGAACTTACTCAATTTTAGCATTAAACCGTTAGTTAATATATAAGTTAATTTACACGCCAATAACCATCAAGGCTATCTATAACGCAATACTTCCCATTATTACGATACTATTTGCTAAAGAAGACAATTTTAATATTGTGTATCGTGTGTTATTAATAATTAATTTTATTTATAATAATTATATTTAAAATATATATTTAAATTTAACTACACACTAAATTGTTATCTATACATATAATAAAACTGTAGAGGTCGAATGCCTGTACATGAATGAAAAAAAAAGCTAAAAATCGAGTCAGGGGGGTGTAAGAAGATAAATAGAACAAATCAAATTTTTTTTTCAATTTTTTTTGTTTCTCTGTCTGTTTGTCTGTTTATCTGTTTATACCGGCCTTGTACCTTATATCCCCGATGAACATATTAGATAAAATTATAGTAACTTACACAACAACTTATGCACCTAATTAAGCAAACTTTAAACTTTACCTTATATTGCCGGTCAAACAACAGGTTACTTTTTATCTTGGAAAAGTGAACGGTTCCCGTGGGATAGATCTGTTTGTGCTGCGCCACTACTATTCAAAAAACATTTAATTACAAAACACATCAAGATAATATTTTTAGATATTAAAAAGATACTTAATGTCACAAAATATATTTATTTCATAATTGATCATGTACTTACTTCGTCAACAGTTAACTTAAGCATTAATTATTGAAAATGAAATTTTCATGATAAATTATAATAGAGACCTAACCCTAAATGCCTAACGTCTGAATTAAATATATTGTTTATAGGCACGTTCAAACTTTAAGAAACACCTATAAAACCTATATATTTATATATAACCTATAAAAGTAAATTTTAATGCGGTAATATAGAGTCAGCTTTATTATTTAGCAAATGCGATTTAAAATTACGAAACATTGTATATTTATTAAATAATACAAAATGTTTTCATATAAAATAATACTTATTTAATACCGAAATCTTATTTATTCTACTTTAAAGTATATCACAGTGCTCGATGTAACTCTAGGTTATAATTTACTAGCGACTCACCCTCTCAATTTCGGTCCAGCCGTTCCCGAGTTATAAGTGTTGTAACAAACCCGATTTTGTTTTATATACCTATATATATATATATATATATATATATAATATACGTTTTTATGTTTTATATATGTATATACTCGTATATGATGTTTCCTTTCCTACTTTCAATGTACTTGAATTGCCTTTTGCCATCAATTGCCGGAATAATAAAATACAGTTAAAAACGTTTTTCAAGTTTCAACAACAACACACGGGAATATTTTCACAAACAATAAAATCAGTAACAAAAATTTAACTACTATATTATATTAGTGTTGTGCCAATTTTTGAATAGGTAGGTACAATTTACTCGGCGATATAATATGCATATATTTATTATTTGTGTAAACATTTTTACGCTGTTAATATGAATTTAGACAGGACAGACAATTTGCGGGTTAAGTACAGGAACGATATCTTCAAAAATTTGTAAGTTCGCACTAAATACGGTGGAAACATAAAATAAACAAATATATATGTATATGTTGGGACATTAACACACAGCACCATCTAGTTCCATGGTAAGCTACAAAGCTTGTGTTATGGATACCAGATAGTTGATACGCTACACATAATATAACTTTTAAGTTGATACATAATAAAAATATATAAACACCCATGACTAGAGTACAAATATTGACTCAAACCCGCGACAGCTGACACAGCAAGTAGGGCCACTACAAACTGAGCCAAACGTGTCGTCTTATAAATTAATAAGAATACATAAAAGAAATATATTAAACTAGATGATTTTATATTTTTATTGTACTGTAAATGTAATGAAATCGAATTTACTATTTACAAATACATTATGTGTATCACAAGCGATGCATCAAAAGGTCATGGCAAAATTCGTTTCCTTGGTATTTAGAAAAAAAATATCAGTCATATAGATAGACCTGTCTTATTCTTACGCAAATACTATTGTATATTAATACTTGAATAACTAGTTGAAATTTTGCTTTGACCAATAACATAAGAAAATAGGCGTTTTAAACGCTGATTTAAATATTTTGGACCATTATGGGTGATTGATGATAATACATTGTCCATTTACAAGATTACGATATCGACTTTTTCGTAAGTAGTATGGTATTATTACTCATAAAACAGAAAATACGACTAAATTCCTAAAATAGATAAGGCATTACCATTTCGTTTTTTTTATTAAAATGACTAGCATTGCCCGAGGCTTCGTCTGATGACCAAAAACCAAATTCTTAGGTTTTACATTTTTTTCAGACATGAAACATTTTCCCGCGGTAAAAAGTCTCCTATATATAACCAGCCATCACCATACCAAATTTAATCAAAATCCCTCCAGTGGTTCTGTGATGCGGTAACAGACAGACAGACAAAAATTCTAAAAACTATAGATTCGGCCTCTGTATCGATAATAATGTCTATTCCAATAAGATTTTCCAAAAAATATTTAATGTACAGATTCGGCTTAGTTACAACTTTATTATAGGTAAGTTATATTATATGAAAATTTTATTATATGACATTGTTTATCGTACTGGAATAAAATTTGCTTATAAATTGAATATGTGTAGAATAGTAAGCTGTGATTTATTAATGAATTCATGGAAAACAATGGTTTTAAATAAACAACACAGATACTTCACACTTTCTTAGAAATGTAGGTAAGACGTATCTTTATATATATAATTCTTCTGTGAGTGTGTATGTCACTGAACTTCTCTCAAACGACTGGACCGATTTTGATGAAATTTTTTGTGTGTGTTCAAGGGGATCTGGGAATGGTTTAGATTCACAATTTGAATAATAATTTTCATCAAAATGGTCGAGAATGTTTTAGCTTATTAAAAAAAGTTTGAAATTTTCAAATTAAAGACGTGTAGACAGGACAACGTCTGTCGGGTCCGCTAGTATGTTATGATATGGTAACATTGAACACCTTATATTACATTATTTGAATTTAAATCTACTGCTTGTTTGGTATAAATTAATAACCCATCAACTTATATTTCTTCTATAAATATTAATTTGAGAACTCTAAAATGTTCACTCTATTTCAGAAATCTGTATTTTGTTTATTTTCATTTTTTAATATTCTAGTCTAGAAAACAGTCAACTAAATTATACAATGGCTAAATATACGTAAATTGGAA